ACTACAATTCAGGCTCTTGGCTTCTGAGCTTATGTACTGTTTTCACTTCATAAGCTAATGTACAGTAAGTCAGCAGAGTGAAGACCCTTGTGTCCTCTTGGTAGCACATGTAAATCAAACGGGATGACAATATTGTTATAATGAAATTATTGACTTGTTACATTTCAAACAGTGACTGCACAATGGAGTCACACTTAGGAGTCATATACAATTTCCTCTTTATATTATATTCACAAAGCATTGCAGGCAGATGGGTTTGTTTATGAGGTAGATCTATTTGCATCTTTATCTGGATTGCAAAGAGTTCATGAAGTAGAGAGATAATTAAACCAAAAACCAAACTCCCTGCCATTGAGTCAACAATTCTGACCCATGGAGATCCTCATTGGGTTTTCAAGGCTGTAAATCTTTATGGAAGCAGACTGCCTCATCTTTCTTCTGTAGAGTATTTCGTGGATTTGAACCATTGACCTTTTGGTTAACAGCCAAAGGCCTTAACCACTGCATCCAAAGAGCTCCTTGAAGAGAATATTACCTATCTATGAAAATAAAAGTTGGCTTCAATCAGTCTTTATTGAGTAAAAACAATGTATAGGGCATGATAAAAATGCAGGAACATAAAAGTTAGAGTGCCAAACTAAAATGTCACAGTCTTTTCGTAAGATACCTTTTGCATCAAGGCATATAATACACCTTGTTTTTATCTCCTATACAGTCAATTCTTATAGCTCACAACTTTTTATAACTTAATAAAAATGGTACTAGTGTTTGGTTTTATCAGAACCTCTAAATAACAAAAGAAAATGAAATTCTTCTCTCATCTCTTATTCAATAAATGTTTTTTTTTTTTTTTAAATAACTTTTACCTATAATTTAATCTTAGTGTCCTATAAAGACCTGCTTTTAGTATCTGCTCTCAGAAGTGAACTGTTTGTCAAATTTCCATTAGGCTGAAGGTGAAAAATTAATGAACCACTTATTTCAGATATTTCAATACTAATGCAAGTATATTAATAATGCAGCCAAAAAAAAATCAAAGTTTTGGGTATGTTCAGTTATGATTTAGGGTTCACTCATATTTAACGTTTAAATGCATTGCTTCATATGCCTAATAGAGCATTCTAGGGAATAAAGTAATGCAGTTATTGATTTTTATTAACAGATAAATATATCTTTTTGGATTTTATTTATTGGAAGCTTTTATTTATTTTTAATCTGGATGGAAATTTTAAAGCAAGATTAATCAGGGAGTTTCTGGTGATGGAGGGGCTGTGAAAATCTATATGTCTGCTAGGGGCGGGTGACATTTAGTTAGAGAGAAGGAATAAAATCATAGCAAGCGTAGAATTATAATTTATCTTTTGACAGTGTCCTTGCTCCCTTTTGTTAACATTTGTAGAACCAATGAGATTACTTGGGATTTAGAGTCTAGAAGAGAAAAGCAAAGTGTTTTTACAGAAAGGTATTGCTAATTAGAAACGGCAAGCACTGAAAAAGATGCAGATATGAGGTGGAAGGAGCTCTGGTGGCTTTATGCCTAAGGCACTTGACTGCTAACCAGAAGGCTGGTGGTCCAAACCCACCAGCCACTCCTCGGAAGGAAGGTTGGGCAACCTACTTCCTTGGTAATACTGTCTCGGAAACCCAAGGAGGGCTCGCTATGAACCGAATCGACTCGATCACAGTGAGGATAGGAGAAGGAAAACAAGGGAGGGAGGAGATCACATAGAGCTGTAGGGATCAGTCAATGCTTTATGGAGAAGGTGGCATGTGAGTTCAGCTTTGAAGCATATTGCATACTTGAGACACATGTGATATAGAGTAGATCAATTGAAGTGGAAGGAATGCCTTAAAGGCATGGATAATGTCAATCACAGAACACACAGGAAAGCAGCTTAAGACTTAATATAAGATATGTGAACTACACCGGTGGGAAATATTACTGGAGAGGTAAGTTGATAAGAGGCTATGACAGGCCTTTGATGGCAAGCTAAAGGGTTTTATCTTAGGCAATGGGATTCCACTGGATGTATTTGAACTGGGGAGAGGTGAGGTCACATAGAATTTCAAGAATGATGTCAGCATCTAACATCTTATGAAAATGTCAAAATGCAGAGATTCTTTATTTCACATAAATACTATTTCACTGTTCCATGCACACTGAAAGATTCAAAGGTATTTATCAGGGAGAAAATAAATGCCAAGAAGGCCAGAGTAAAATGTCTATACCAGTGTTTCTAGCTGGAGTGACAAGGCACATTATCTATGTCTTAAGATATTAGTAACTTTGGGCTAATGACTAGGCAGGAACAGCAGGAGACCCAGGGATCACTTTTGTGAGAGCAGCATCTTAGTTGCCTGCAATTATCCTTCAGTTCACCCACAAGGGCTGTATGACTATGAGCATCTTCTCCATGAACCACACAGGGCCTGGTTTATGGGTTAATGACCTGTGCAGTCATACAGGGTCCCTCTCAGAAAGGAACCCATGGTTGATATAATGCTCTGTAATCATAGTCTTGAAATTTTTCATAGTTTTTGGGAAGGCCTACATTTTTTATTTTGCCCCACAAATTCTATAGCCAGTCTTGGTACCGTAATAAGAAAATAACAACGGACTACTGTGCATTCCAAAAAACTCCCTTTCCATCTAAAAGGGGTTACATAATTATGAGACCATTACTGTACTCATATTTTTTTTTTTGTTGTTGTTATTTGCCATTGAGTTGGCCCCGACTCCTAGCGACCCCTCCTTGGGTTTCCAAGGCAGTTATCACTGCAGAAGTAGGATTGATTGCCCAACCTTCCTTCCAAGGAGTGGCTGGTGGGTTTGAACCGCCAGCCTCCTGGTTAGCAGTCAAGTGCCTTAGGCACTATGCAACCAGAGCTCCTACTCATATTTTTATATAATAAAATGTTTCTTAAGCTTTTTTTTTTTTTTCTTCAAAGCCATGACTTCTATGGAGTTTGAACCAACAGTCTTCTGGATGGAAGTCAACTGCCTTAGGCACTACGCCACCAGAGCTCCCCTTAGGCATATAGTAAATACCATTTTTAGCCTTGTGGTTTTCCAGATGATAAATTAAGGAAACATGTATGTAACATATTTTCTCACTTATTCTCTGCCTCTGGAACCTAGGTACCAGCATCGTTGAGTTTTGCAACCCCTGTGGTCCTATCAAATTAAATTTTGAGAAAACCTTTAGCAATTATTTTCCCTAATAAAAGTTCTGAAAAATGTAGCCCTATGTTCAAAAACATTATTGGTTGCCTGATAGAGTCATTCTGTTGTATATTTCCTTTTCTGAGTCTCTATAAATGTACAAGGAGAGTAAATGATCTTTTTTAGTTATTTTTTTAAAACAGTATTTAGTTTATTCTCTCCAGTTTCTTTTCTTTGAATACTTGTGCATCTTCCTTTAAATCTTGTCATCATAATTGTCTTCTTTCCATGTTTTGATCAATATTTTGTCCAAGTTAAGTATGGATGCAGTTTAAATAGTCATGCATTTTTTCTACAATGCTTAATTTACAAAAATAGAAGTCACCATCTCCCACCCTGCTCTGTATTCCCTCTCCCTCCTCGCTAGCTCTCAAAAGCAGACAATCATTTTTAATATTTTCAGTTGTTATTTACCTCCCTTTCTCTAAATAGCATGTTTACAATTTTACTTCATCATGTTTTCCATTGTATCCATTATATTGAACTACTATTATGGAAGATAAAGATATAATTTTCTTTCACAACTCCCATGCCTCCCTTACTTTTGTGCTTTTCTATTTATTCCTAAAAAATGATATAAATTTTGGGATTAGATCAACAGCCATTAATTATATTATTATACCTATGGGAATATTATTCATATCAGTCATGCAATACACAAAAATTACATTCTTTCCTGCACAAACTTTTGCTTACTTTAAAGCTAATAGTTGTCTGTCTTATAGGTTTCTTGTTGTTTATTTGTATCTAGTAATTCTTCAAATCACAACTCTCTTCTCTCAGGACACTAATACATCTGGTGTTTCCATTGAACTCATCTTCTGGGGGATCCCTTCCAAAACTCCTGACCTACTGCTCTCATCCTCATTAAGTCTGTTACATAGGCATAATCCTAGGATTTTTCTTGGCTGAGAGAACACATTTCAAAATGGTAAAATTAAGTTGATTTGAAGTTCTCTGTGGGAATGGGATTTACTGGTGGACAGGTTTTTAACATCTTAGGTGAGTTGTTTTATTGGTAGACCTTCTAATTTTCAGTACTTTTATTTATTCTCTATTGACCTGGTCATATTTACTAGAGGGGGATTTTCTATTGTCCTACCTGGAAAGAAGGGTTCTGGGAGATTACTGGAGGAAAACATCTGCAGATTCTCAACATTCATAACCCCCTCATTTACAGAGTGATACATGTACTTTATTATATTCAATATCTCCTGGGTAGAGACTCAGTTTAGTTTTCTGCAGGAGTGAGGAAGGAACAATAACTCACACTGACTGGATGACAGATCAGGATTTCATCAAACTCTTCTGTTTCCTGCCCCCCTTAACCCATAACCTAATAGGTAGCTGGTATTGTCAATTCTGATCTTTGTCTGGGGTTCTGTGGTGTAATCTATATTGCTTCTCAGCCTCCCCACTGCTGGTTTAGGCTTCTGTTTCCTCAGGTCTGTTATGTCAGTTGACATTTATTCATCTGCTTTCCAATCTTTTCTGTTTTCTTACCACTGTGGGTTTATGCTGTCGGTCATTTTAGTGAAGTTTTGGGAGAAAACAGAGATATGCTTATGGTTTGTCATCTTTAACTGGGTTTACAATTGTATTGGACTGAATTGTTATCACAAAATCCTTCAAATCATTTTTAATAAGTGACAGCAAAAAATAATTAAATGAGTACAAAATTACTGCTTACAATTCAAATATTTATTACAATGAATTTCTTTAAAGTGTTCTTAATTTTTATTTATCAAGGATTTTTCTTTCTTTCCTTTGAAAACAGATGGAAGCTTTAGACAAAACCGGCCAAACCTTACCTCTCTACTTGTGCAGCCCATCTCTGCATCTCTTGCTGTAAAACTGACATCTTTGCCAAAGAAGACACCCCAAAGTGATGTCTGTAGCCCTCTCAAACTTCTAAGTAATGGTAAAGTATTCAGTGTGTCTCCGTGTGTCTTTTCTGGAGCTCTGGAGATGCAGTGGTTAAAGCATTCAGCTGCTAACCAAAGGGTTTGTGGTTCGAACCCACCAGTCACTCTACAGTAGAAAGATGAGCAATCTGATTCCGTAAAGATTGACCATCTTGGAAATCCCATGGGGCAGTTCTACTCTGCCCTGTAGGATCGCTTTACATCAGAATCAACTCGATGGCAGTGGATTTGGTTTTGGTTTAGTGTGTGTTAGAGTTTTTGTAAGGATGGTGATCATTCTTAATTAAAATAGCATGTTTAAGTCATTCTTTTTTTAAAAATACTCACTTTTGGTCAGGTGAGTATTTAATTCTCTTCTGTGGTCTTTTACGGAGCATTTTTGGAAATTAATTTTGGTGAAGACTGAAAGTTGACCAAACTGAGAGATTAGTAAAAGGGGGAGAAAAATTGTTCTTGGAGTGCTACAGAGAAAAGTAGCTTTACAAATAAAGCATTTTGTACATTCACGAAAATCTGCTTAACACAGCTTCCCAGTTTCAGCTTCAGCAGTCTTGTTGCTTGCCAAGATTCAGTGGATAGCAGTCAGCTATCTGGGGTATGAAGTCTTTTAGTGTAAAGCATTAAAGCCTAATTCCTGCAATTGACTAAAAAATCCCCCTGTCTTTACACACCATCGCCCAGGAGATTCTTCTTGTACTGCATAGCAGTTTGTCAGGCCTTGTTGGACCACGCAGGATAAAACTGAAGTAGTTAAGCTACCTGTGGCAAGATGAAAGCCACATACTGCATCTTATTTCTGCCTCCAGCCTCAGCTTTAAGAGTTCTAAAGAAGAGATTCTCTTTACATACTGTTAAATTTGTATCTAGTTGCTGTGAAGTACGTTTTAAAGTCTCTGTTTTTGTGTCCAGACCTAGGGGCTCAAATACCCATGTTTTATCTCAACTGTATTTCCCTTGACAACAAAACATTGCAAACACATGTTTTAATGAAGCCTGAAAAAAAAAAAAATCTGAATACATTCAACATTGCTTTCTGTTAGAGAGGACATAGGAATTGCTTTTCAAAGTCATGCAGATTGAGAGTCTTCTAAAGTGATTGTTCATTGAGTGGTAATAATAATAATAATGAAAACACTGATAAACTTATGTCCTCAAAGCAGAAACAAAGAAGCCTTCAAGGAGCTTTTCATTTTGTTTTTTTCTGTTTTCTATTCTAAGCCTCACAAAATGACCATGGGCCCTTTGCTGGTTGTTAGGTGCCATCCAGTGGATTCTGACACATAGCAGCCTTATAGGACAGAGTAGAATAGCCCCAAAGGGTTTCCAAGGCTGACAACTTTGTGGCAGCACATTGCCTGGTCTTTTTTTGTTTACGAAAATAAATTCAGAGCACTTCAAGATGCCTATATATTTTTGTTATTTTTTTCCCTATTAACCATTGGATATATTCTTAGATGAAAATTACATTTTAGTAGATTAATATAATGTCTAACTGTAAATATGGCTTGTTTTTACATATTCCAAATACATTTTGGACATCTGTTTTTATAATGCCTATCAGCTATGTGTGAGTTATATTTGTAGCATTTTTTCAGCATAGATTTGACAACATATTGAACCTATTATCTGCCAAAAATTGTGGTTATACTAAAATTTACTTGCAAATACTGCAGTTTTAGGTTTTCAAGGAATGTTCATTAATAAGTAATGTTAGTAGAGTTGTTGTTGTTGTTGTTGTTATGTGCCGTCAAGTCGGCTCCAACTCATAGCGACCCCTCCTTGGGTTTCCAAGGCGATATCACTATGGAAGTAGATTGCCCAAACTTCATTCTGAGGAGTGGCTGGTGGGTTTGAACCACCACCTTCTGGTTAGCGTTCGTCTGTGTTTTTGAAGGCATTCTTTCATCAGAAAGGTATTATGTATCCTGGATCTTCTCTTGTGTACAGACATTGAGACCACTCTGAACAGATAGATTCACATGTGGCCAAAAATAATGTTAGACTCAACTCTACTAGAGAGAATGTCTTATCATATAGTATACATTTTTTTTTGTCTCCAAATTGTAGAGCCAATACACACATATGCACAAACACACAGACGACAAGACATTCTCTCTCTCTCTCTCTCTCTCTCTCTATATATATACCCATAAATCCATACAATTCCATATCCATTGAAATCACTGAGATACTCAGTGAACAATGGAGTGGTTTGGCTCTGATATGGTGTGACCTTCTTAAAGTCCCAATCTAAGAACAGTACAAATGCAAAAAAGGGACAGGTGAGAAATGGAAAGAGACAGAGTAAGACACAGACACACTCACACACACATAGACTGATTCATTCATTTTATTGATAAGACTTTTGGGCAGAGCAAATGAAAATTCCTCTGTAAGCTTACAAAAATAAGATAACTGAAACTTGTTTTAGGAGGAGGTGGGCTTTAACAGTCTCTGGGCTTCAAGATAGGAGAAAAAATGCAAAAGAAGAACACGAGGATAAAATTAAATGTGTGCAGAGACAATTTCTGTATAGCATGTGTATTAATGGATTTGGGACCACGAGATACAAAAAAATTCAACGAGTGAGACCACTGTAGGAAAGACTGATCTGGATAGTGATAAACTCAAAATAAGAGTTAGGAATCAATAAACTGTGTGTAGTGGGGAACTGGTTGCACAGTGGTTAACCAAAAGGTCAGTAACTCAAACCCACCAGCCACCCCATGGGAGAAAAATGTGGCAGTGGATTTCTGGCCCTTGGAAACCCTATGGGGCAGTTCTACTCTGTCCTACAGGGTTGCTTTGAGTCAGAATCTGTTTGATAGCAATGAGTTCATCAATAGGTTAAACTGTGCAGTGGCGACACTCAGATATTATGGCTCTTTAAGCAGCCATTTGTACAGTGAAGCTAGAGTCTGAGCTGGAAGCTGGTAACAGAGTGATCCATAGAACTAAAGATCAGGTTTCATGAGTTGCCAGTCTGAAGTCTTTGGACAAAAGGAAAAAAAAGCTTTAGAAATCACTTTGAAAGACTATTCATCAAGGGTCTTAAACAGAGTGAGCAGAGGTGGGAAACCTATTGTCCAAAGTCCACAGAAAGTACAGTGGATTCTCTGTTTCCTGGGGAGTACACGTTGGGTTTACCAAGGGTGACACAGATCTGTCATTCACCCAGAACTTCTCAAGTTTCCAGCTTTCTGTCACTACAGTTTCGATTTTAGGTAGGAAATGATTCAGCCAAAATCAATCCAGAGGTTCTTTTCTATTTATTTTCTGGAAAAAAAAATCCAAAGACAACTTGAGATATACATTTTCCTTTTTTTTTTTTTTTTTTGCCTTCTCATATACCAAACAAACTGGTCTTCCCTTCAACAATTTATACACATTTTGTTTGGGGACACTTTTAAGCAAAATTACTTTAACAAGTGTTTTCTAGGTTTTCAATGTTTCTGAGCCATTTTTCCAGCTTCTATTCTCATAAAACAATTTTTCAAACATCTATCACTCCTTACAAATTGTAGAAGCTCCAACTAAACTTTGAGGTTTATGTGTGATAAAGTCCATTAGAGCATATGCTATCTTTATATTTTGATGCTTCATTTTTAACAAAGGGCAGATGTTATCATGTCCTAACTTAGAAACTGCCAAACATTCCTCACTGATCTTCTTGCTCTATATTCTGCTATTGCTTTCATGGATCCAGCACTTTTCCCTATTGCTCTGTTCAGTATTATCCAAATATGTTTTGAATGTCTATGTATCTAAGTGTTAAAGCTGTATCCTCCATATCCTTCAGATCAGGGCAAATGCCATCTCTTCTCTAAAAAGCCTTTTAGGATCCCACTCACGTTGGATGTAATCTCTCTCACCCTGTCGTGTTTCTCACGTGCACATGCTGCTTGGCATTGTGATATGGTTTTATTCCCACTTAGATTATAAACAACTTTAATGTCCATTATAACTATTGTTTCCTCTTTCTTTCTATATAATTTCAATTTTTGGAAGTCTTTTACTTATAGTCCATTATGTGTATACAAATGTTCCATGAAAAACAGTTCTGTATAAATATAAGGTGTACTATTTTACATATGTCCATTTAGAACAAATGTGTTAATCAGATAGCTCAAATAATTTGTATTCTTATTAGAAGTATGATATATCCCATTATGTATATAGATATGTCCATTTAACTTTGTGGTTCTATCAATTTGACTTTATATATCTTCAGATAAATATTTTACATGTTTATAAATTTAAAATTACTATATATTTTGAGTTATTAAACCTCTTATTAGATCAGGTGACTTTCTTTATATCTTATAATAGTTGACTTTGAATTTGATTTAGCCTGATATTAATTTAGTCATACTACTTTTTGTTTAGTTAATATCTTTATATTTTTCTACTTTCACCTTTTTTGTATCTTTCTGGTTTGTTATATTTTATTAATGGAAAATAATTTGGATTTTCAAGATAAAATAGGTCCACCTTTTAACTGGACTATTTGACCAATTACATTTAATATGATCATTAATATATTCATGTTTATATTATTCATCTAAACTTGTTTTTTCTCTTTGTATCACATATGCTTTCCTTTTCTTTCTGTTGTTGTTGTTGTTATATGCCGTCGAGTCGGCCCTGACTCATAGTGACCCCTCCTTGGGTTTCCGAGGCAGTATCACTATGGAAGTAGGATTGCCCAACCTTCCTTCCGAGGAGTGGCTGGTGGGTTTGAACTTCCAGCCTTCTGGTTAGCAGTCAAATGCCTTAGGCACTACACTACCAGAGCTCCTCCTTTTCTTTCTAGGTTAATGTTTTTAGTTATATTTTCTCTCTATTATTTTGAAAGCTAAACCTTTTTTTATAAAAGGGTATTCTTTTATAGTTACACAAGAAATTAAAACTTACCGAAGCTTAATGTTTACAAATACCTTCTGTCTTGTTGTCTAGTGCTGCTATAGCACAAATACCACAAGTGGATGGCTTCAACAAATAGGAATTTATTTTCTTACAGTTTAGGAGGCTAGAAGTCCAAATTCAGAGTGCCAGTTCTAGGGGCCGGGTGAAAGCCCCTTGACCTTGGGCATTAGCTTTGTCTCTTGTTCCAGGCCCACTGGAGCTGGAGCCTTTTTGTAACTAGTGCAGCTGCTGGCTGCAGAACCCAAGGTCAGCAAGTAGAATGGCACAATTCTCAGATCAACAGGCATATGGCAGGCCACTGGCTCAAGTCCAGGAACAATCATAAAATCAGTAGGCAATAAGGCAGGTCACTGGTTCAAGTCCAATAATTAGAAATGAAGACTTGGCCAAATGCAGGATCCAAAATGTGCCAAAGAGCTAGAGACTTTTCTCAAAGTCTCTTTATTTACTGAAATCAGGCCAAAGGCCAAACCCTTAAGACAACTCTTAACTACTCATAGCAGATTTCACCATAGAGGTGATTACAATCTCATCAGAAGGATAAGTACATCCAGCTATAATTTTTAACAATTCTGTTATAAAATTTAGCACTAGGAGTGGACATGTTCCTTACGTTTCAATTGCACAGTCCCCGGGGTTATGGAAGAAAAGAATAAAAGCCCAATGTATAAGTTTGCCTAAGCCTCTGTAACATCACCTCAGACCAGCAAATGTAGGGGGCCTACTTAGCCAATTTTTGTTTCATTTTTCTGTCTCTTCTTTTTCAGATTTTGTCCATAAGCACACATATTGTGCTCAAGTATATAAATAGTATATATCATGTATTCTATGATTTTCACTTACATGTTTCTACACCCTCCTTTTAACTTTTCACAGCCACACACTTTATCTCAATTCTCTAAGCTGTTTCCTGTTTGGGATATTTACATTGTTTTCTATAGTTGTCATTATAGATTATACTGCAGAGAATTAAACTATTTCTATAGGATAAATTCCGAAGAACAGGATTGCTATTGTTACTGCTAGGAAAAGTAATATTGTATTACCAATGGGTGGTTTAGACTAGCAATGTGTTTGAACAATTTCTCTCAGAAAGATCAACACAAGGCCGGTCCCTATGAGGCAGAGGTTAAAGATGTCCCAAATGTCCAAACTACTGTGCCACTCCATCATTTCAGACATTAACTCCTCTCCTCCTCCCAGTAATTTCCCCCATCTTAGGGTTCTGTATTTCACTGTAATGCCTCACAGAACTTACAGATACCCAAGGGATCATCTCACATAGTAGTGGTGGAGGCTGGCAGGCTGGTGAGTCCTAGGTCCCTGAGTAGGTCTGGAGGATCCTCCCAATTCTCGGGGTTTGATGAACCTCGATCAGCAGATCAGATGATGGCTGCTGTCCCAAATCCAGGGGCGAGATGAGGATGAGCCAAAACACAGAACTAGAGCAAGAGGAGGGCAAACCTTCCCAGGAGATTCATAGGTATACCCTTAGGGAAGCTAAGGGTGGTGATTTGAATTATACCCTCCAGGAAGGTAGGACTCAAGATATATTCCACCTGTGTTGCCCCAACAGAAATAACCTAAGTGGATGGCTTTAACAATAAGCAGCTCAAGGCAAATCCCATCATTGAACTAATTGCCAGTCATTATAGTGAATGACGCTAACAGCTGTCCACGGAGCTCTGGTAGCATAGTGTCTAAGGCACTTGACTGCTAACCAGAAGGCTGGTGGTTCAAACCCACCAGTCACTCCTTGGAAGGAAGATTGAGCAATCTACTTCCATAGTGATACTGCCTCGGCAACCCAAGGAGGGGTTGCCATGAGTCGGGTCCGACTTGACAGCACTATCAACAACAGCAACTATCAGCTGCCCAGCCAAGTTGATACCTGATCTTAACTACCACACCACCCTAAGCAGGCACGGATAATAGGATTTACAAAACATACCACTCATAGTGACCACGATATTGTTGGAATGGAAGACAATGGCTAGAAAGGCCACATCAAGCAATTCACCGCACAATGGCAGAAGCCATTGATGTGTTATCAGAGTGCCATTTACTCCGAGATTTTTCTGACATTCATAATTAAAATTGAGAGTGTAAACATGGTACTGTTACTAGTTAAGGAAAACAATATATGCCACCTAACCTCAAACAGTGGCATTTGTTTTCATATATGGATATGGAATAATATAAAACAATACATATTGGGATCAATATCGTGTGTGGGATTTATACTAATAGATAAAAGACTTCTTTATGCTATGTTAATTAATCACTATTTTGACCTGATGTTTAGTGGAGATTTGGAATAGAGGTGAAGGGACCTACAAATACATGTGGAAATAAAGGATCTATTATACGAACATATTTATAGCTCTAAGAGCTTTTATCCTTTTAATTTGTATAATGTTTCAGAGTTTTCAAAGTGTTAATGTAATAATGAGTCATACAGAAAAGGTCAAATTATATCCTATATGTTCTTTCTCAGAAGATAAGACAATACTCAGTATTCTTTGGAAATATTTTTATCTGATACGTTTTTTCCTTATTCTAATGTGAAGTTCTCGCATCTCCATGAGGTCCCTTTTAAGTGCTCCCATGTTAAACTCCTATTTCAGCTCTGAATGAGAGGTTTAGAATTGTTTGTTTATAGCTCTGTAGCTCTGTGAGGCTAGTAACTACATCTTAGACATTGTTATGTAATAAGCTATTAAAATAGAGAATGTACACATTATTTCATAAATATTTGCCAATGATATAACTTGGTGTGAAGATTATTATTATATGACAACAGATAAATAAATTTCAGTATTTTAGGAAAAAATATAAACAACCCTTTATTAAAACTTTTATTTTTTCAGAAATAAGAATTGTCAACATGCAAGTTCAGACAGTCACAAAATTTAAAACAATTACAAATGTTGTTGGATATTTAAAGGGCTCAACATCTCCAGGTAAGTATGGTTAAGTGTTTATAACCCTACCCTTTTATAAAACTTTATAGAGAAATACCATTTAATATTTTGATGTAACTAGTTTATACCACTTTAAGTGTCAATATGAAGCAAAGAATAGAGACCTACTATATTTTCTTTCCTACTATCTCTCTTCAAAAATACATCTTAGTAGAAAGTGTTGTTGTGTGTCACTGAGGCTATTCCTACTCATAGTGACCCCATATGACAGAATAGAACTGTACCACAAGGTTTCTTAAGGTGAAAATTTATGACAGCAGGTTCTCAAGCCTTTTCTCCTTTGGAGCTGAATGGGTTTGAACTGCTAACCTTTCATTAGCAGCCAATGCTTAACCGTTGTGCCACCAAGACTCATTTGGAGAAAGTGTAGGGAAATTAAAAATAAAACAACAACAAAAATAGTTTACATTTGTTAACCTGCCACCCGTCTGGTGAAGAAAATCTGTAAAAACCATCATTTTTTCTTTTATTGCTTTCTTTCTTTTACCATACCCACACATTCACTGCCATCAAGTCAATTCTGACTCAGCAACCCTATAGGACAGAGTAAAACTGCTTCATAGGGTTTCCAAAGTTATAAATCTATGGAAGGAGACTACCATATCTTTCTCCTTTGGAGCAACTGGTGGATTCAAACTGCTGACCTTTTGATAGGAGCCAAATATCTTAACAACTGTGCCACGAGAACTCCATTTTATTGACCACTCCATAACGCAACAAACTGCTGTTGAGTCAGATCCTACTCATAGCAACCTCTCCTTGGGTTTCAAAGGTGATATCACTAAGTAGATTTCTCAAGCTTCCTTCCGAGGAGTAGCTGGTGGGTTTGAACAGCCAGGCTTCTGGTTAGCAATCAAATGCCTTAGGCACCATGCCACCAGATCTCCTTTTATTGACCATAGCATGTTGTGTTGTTGTTATGTGCTGTCAAGTCGGACCTGACTCATAGTGACCCCTCCTTGGGTTTCCGAGGCAGTATCACTACGGAAGTAGATTGCCCCATCTTCCTTCCGAGGAGTGGCTGGTGGGTT